TAATTCTTACGGTTTCAATCTTTCAAACGTATATAACCATTGTTCATTAATAAAAGAATACATGTGTATTTAAACAAAAACTAACAACATAAATAGGCAATGTTGCGCAATTCTTCGATTTTTATGATGCAACGTTTCAAGGCTCAATGAGTATCGATTTTGAGTCTTGCGCAAGAAATGTGAGACTGCTTTCTAGTGAAGACAGCATGTACATACCTATAAATTTTCCTGAATTTTTCTAAATATAATTGAATCAATATCATGACTCATAAATAAATTATCATATCGATCGCAAGGGGTCGCTCTTGTATGATCACATTTTAATGTACGTAGTTACATACAATGCCATATGAATGATGAGACACTTCGACACAATCTCATTTAAAAAACTTACTTGAAAAACAACTGAGTGAGGGTGTGTGGGTGTGGATGATAATCTCTCCATCGACAGTTACACCCACACTCTTTTTAAAACAATTACTCAGAAGTCAGAACGTCGAGTTCAATTACACTATATTTCTGCTATATTAGTATCTAATGTGCTATTAGCATATCATAATTCAAGATTTATCCGTGATCATTTTGGAATCAAGCGCACTTTTGACAAAATTCGAGATCGTTTTTATTGACTCCATATGTATAAAGACGTTGAAAAACATGTGTTGACATGTCTTAATTGTAAGAAAAATAATCATTCTCGTAATAAACCTGATGCACATCTACAATCAATTGAATCACCTCATGAAGTACTGTAACGCCTTTCTATGGATTTTATGTCGGACCAGTACCACGATCTCGTACTGGACATGCATGCTTTATTGTGCTTACGGACATTTTTTCTAACTATGCTGGGACAACAGTCGTCTCGTATAATACTGCAACAATAGCAGCGAATTTTCTACTGTATGATGTGTTTATGATTTATGGAGTTCCACAAGAAATTATTACTGACAATGGTCACCATTTCACAGCTTCAGTGTATGAATCTTTGCTTAAGTTAATGGGTTGCTGTCAAGTCAAGACAACTCCATATAACCATCAGTCAAATAAGCAATATGTGAACGCCACAATGCTACACTTGTACCTAACGTAGTGGCACTTTCCTATCACTCATGCTCTAATTAGAACGAAAAGTTATCTCCAACAACATTTTATTATAATGTCATTCGACGTGCTGCTACTGGTTATACTCCGTTCGAATTAATGTTCGCCCAACAACCTCGTTTATTAGACGATCCTAAGCGAACGTTTTTTTCATGCTCTGGGCCTGCGCAAATCTCAAGATTTGTCCATAGCGCATGATTTTCTTTCCATAGACAAGCACTTGGACGCTTGCATGAGTTAAATGTATATCTCATATAACTCATGCGCTGAATCGTAAAAATCGTACCAATGAGCATTGTTGGAATGATCAACTAGAATAAAATACTAGCAGTATTCTGACCATTAACAGTGTTTCATGCAAATTACTGATGTAAATTTTTCTTTAGGGATGCATATTAAAATGTATTTATTGTTTAAATTGTATGTTTATTAGAAAGACGATCGTTTTAAAATGTAAGATAGAGCAAGAAAAAAGAAAAGAAGGGTATGGATGGGTTATCGGTCTGGATATTAGTGGAGAGAGAATCCTACACCCACACCTAGACCCCAAACCTTTTTACCTAACTTGCTCCCTTGTCATAAATTGGTTTAGAACGAGAAATCAAATGCACACAATAAATTATCTGCTTTATATTGATTTTATAGTCAAAATTTAGATGCTACAGTGAAAAAAGCTATTACATATTCCAAAAAATTAACGTTCATCTAACTACTGTAAATGAAGATGAAAATAAAAAATATTATTTTTGTCTGCTTGAAAAAAACGAGAAATCACAAATTAAATTACATCTATTGTTATGTACTATACTAACTAACTACCTAATCAACTATTACTAATTATCTGATAATACAATATAATAAAAACATGTGGTTTGAATCTGATAAATTTTTTGTCTGAAGAAGAGACAGAATAAATCATGAACAATTATACGATTACAAAAAGTAGAATAACTGTCTATCAGTTTAAATGAACGTCCTGATCTTTTTCAGTCACTGATAAATTTCTATTCAAAGTTTTCTTTGTCCTACTGATCACATAGATACAGACTGCTTTGAAATAGAAATATTAATAGCACTAAACAAACATAAGTTGCCGCCAACTACAAAAAATGCATGTTGAGTTGTCTATACATGATATTTTGTTCTCACCTACGAATAGAACAAAGCAACATCAAAGCAAACTATCTTAATAACATTAGATTGATGTATACGGAACAAATTTTTCGAGCTAGTTACTTTAAAAAACAATGACCAGAATATCTCAAAAATTTCAAATATTGAATACAAGTGTTTCCATGGCTGTATTTAATTGGTATTTGAACCGCTCAATTCTGCATTTGAATTGATGGACATATTTTCTTTACTTGACTAGAGTGTGTATTTCTCTACCCAGAGGAAATCATCAGATACTAAGATCTAACAAGATTCTGCATATGATCTTATATGATCTTGAAAGGTCAGACAAAAGATTGTAGTCTCAGAAATCTGACATTAATTCGTACTAAAAGGTCCTTGAAAGATCTTACTGTACGGTAAGATATGACTATAAAATTATAGAAAGTCTTATGAAATAGTAGGATCTTTCAAGAATTTTATGATACGAGGGTGCGGGTGTGAGTATGCGAAAAGCTCACACCCACACCCATATTAATAATTGCTAAACTTATTACGAAAAACTAGTTGTCGGAAAAAATAATTTCGCAAATAAATTTCATCAAAATGTAGTTTTTCGTTTAAGAAATATCCAATTGAACGAATACGCAATAATAATTTATTAAGATTTCTTCCTATACTTTATTCATCAAATGATCTGACATCTGCATAGATATTATCAGATTCTAGTAATCTTTCAATATCAGTACTACGAAGAAAATAAATAGATTTGATTTTGAGCAAAATTTTATTATTTATTTTTTGTTGAGTGGCACATGCATGGAATATTATGTGATATTATTCTTGAAATAGGTTATGATTTTACATCGTTGATTCAACATTGTCAAAATGCATTAGTTCATTTTGGTTTACAAGAATTCAAACCATCAACTATTGGATGCATACTTTCAGGTATGATTACAACCTATTCAGGCCTTAATGAAAATACATCGATTTATGTAAATAAACAAAGAATGTTTAGCAGTCAAATAGAGCCCATGTCTTGAACTCCGATGTAGGCGGGGTAGTAGAAGTGAAACGGGTGTGAGTATGATGTAGGTATGGTTTTGGAGAAGATGTGCAGCCACCAACACCCCACACCCATACGCGCAGACGCTGATACCCACAGCCACACCTACACCACGTATTGATTAACTTTTTGAAGGCAGGGGTATTAGAAGCTAAAATTGTCAGATTGGTAGTTTTACACATTGATGATTCGAATGGGCAAAGCAGATAAAAAATTCATTTTTGTCGAATGCCTACGGTCCTCAGTCCCTTCATGGGTTCTCTTTTAATGATCTACAAAAATGTTCTAATTGGTAATCTACACCCTCTATACTGATTTTTTCATTGGTTCTCATAAGATGGCCAATAAATGGCTATCATGGTAGTAGTTTTATGTATGCATTATTTAATGATGTTACGAAATTTCACCATGTGGATGTTGTTAAGTTGAGCAAGTAGACTAAATTGTGTGATGATAAAAATGAACTTTGTACAATTTTCTTGCTGTTTCTGTGTCCTTCTTCATTTTAACACGTACTGCTAATTATTTCTAATAAAAAAAGTAAATATCCTGCGGCAATACACGATACAATAATTAAATATGATATCTCTGATTAGTGGTTCATCTGAATAAAGACTTTAGCAAAATCTAAGTGTTCTACAAATGAAAGAATCATATAAAGAATATATGAAACAAATGAATGGCATTCGAATTATATTTGGTTAATGTCTCTAGAAAGGTTCAGTAAGATATGATTATTAACTATTCAAAAATGGACATCGGATTCAAAAATTGATGATGATAAATAGATATTTGCATATTCAAACTTGCATACATTTAATCGAGCTTTTAGAATAGAATGAAAAATTGTACTTTTCTGCTTTTTTCAACTTAGTATTCAGTTCTTTTAGATAAATGCTAATAAAAATTGTTAGCGGGGGGCAAACTGGTGTTGATAGATCTGCTCTGGATGTGGCTATTGAATTGAATTATAAGTATGGTGGATGGTGTCCTCGTGGTAGAAAGGCTGAAGATGGAATTATTGATCCTATTAAATATGCAAATCTAGAAGAAACATTGTCAAATAATTATCCACAACGAACAGAATTCAATGTACGAGATTCAGATGGAACTCTAATTATTATCCTTGGAAGTAATGATACAATGGGTCGGGGTTCAAAATTGACAGTACATATGACGAAAAAATACGAAAAACCTTTATTGATAATCAATCTGAACCAAGAAGACAACGGTGAAAATGAAGCTAAAGTGATCGAATGGCTTTCCGCGAACAAAATTAAAATATTAAACGTTGCTGGACCACGAGAAGAAACAACGCCTGGAATATATAAACAAGCAGAACAATTTTTAAGAAGTTTATTGCAGAAAATAAAGTCTTAACTGAACAAAAAGCAAATGAGATTTTCTTAAAAGCAGTGGATGTAAAAAGAAGATCAATTCTTTAGCAGTAGTGGAGATTAGATTGCTCTTGCTAAACACTAGTTGAATAAATAAGAAGGACATTTGAGTTTCCCTGAGTAAAATATTACAAATCATTTCTCACAGTGAAATAATGCGTAAATTAAATTTCTTCTTAGGATTAGCAAAGCACTGCTGTGTCATTACTGTTGTCATGGCAGAAACAAAGACAGCGTCTACTTATCTTCAACGAGCCCTTTCAGATTTGGTGACCAAATCTGAATTGAAACACTCTAAATAATATTTTGTAGAGAAATGAGAGACGTATCGAATGATATATAGAAAGTTATGTTTTGTAGAGGTTGGGATTTATTGCAGCAAATTTTAAAGAGATCTTAAAGTATATATAGTTTGTAGGGTTTTTTATGGGTGTGGGTGTGGTTATAGAAATACCTACACCCACATTCTCTAATTTTAGTGCATCAATAAAATCTTCGTCAATGAATTTCTTCTTTGTAAATCATATCCCATCTCGATTAGAATTCTAACTATATATTGTTGACAACCATATTTCTTCAAACACAAATCAAGTAATAGATTATTATCATCGTCGTCATATTGATGAACAAGTGATGGTGACAATGTTAAGAATTGGTATACAGTTTTATACTGTTTCTTACTGTAATAAAATAAGCAATAAATATGTACTTGTCAATCATGTTCTTAACTGATGATCATCTAAAAACGAATGGAAAAATCTCTTGTTGTTCGATTTTTATTCATCATGTTTACATATTTTCGATTATTCCAAGAGCCTTGAAACAAATTCCTGATATGTTCTTCGAATGATAAATAAATAATGCATAAAGTCGATTTTGCTCGATTAAACCTTCCAGACTTCGCTGAAATCTATCCTTAAAACTTTTATCGAATAGCATTGTGTCATCGAGATAATATTCATAAAGTACAGTACTTAATATTCCTAATCGACTTTCATCAATAAATATTGTATACCAAGTAATAGCATTTCTTAAACTAATCATACTGAATACGTCTAACAGAAAAATTTTCGCTCAAATTTCCTTGATAAATAAATATTTCAAACGCTGAATAATAAAGAGAAGTAAATCTAGAGAAGCTTGATAATATTGCACATGCATAGGAGTCATTTTCCAATTAAAATGGATATTAATTATGTGATATATTGAATAGCATTGAAAAAAATACACACTAAATCATCATAATCCAACCAAACTTGACCGTTTAGAAGATTCAGATTTGAAATAATGAGTGATTTGAACAGGATGGGTGTGTGGGTATGGATATCAATCAGGGTAAAAAGAAGATATACCCATTCCTACACCATCCCTATTGCCACACCCATCATTGACCGGAGATTTCGACGAGAATTGCACATCGATTCTGGAGAAAGATCCGTGTATAACAAGTTTCATAGTTAAAGGATTGAAGATATGTCTGTGGCTTTCAGGAAATAGGTTATATCTGTTTTTGAGGCATTTAAGCAATCGCTAGTCTCATTTTGAAGTAAAACATTCAAGTTACATGTCTCTTATAGTCCAATTTCCTATTATTGCCTTGATTAAAACATTTTTTTGTGAAAAGATGCCCCTTCAAATTCTCTAACAACTCGTATACTAATTCAATCCAAATTGATTTAAGATACATTGGAGAAAAGATGAAAGGTAAATATACACAAACAGCTGTAAAAAATAAATTTGAAAATAGTAATGAGCCAACAAAAGATTACCGCGATTTAGGTGAAGAAGTTCCATTAACAACAACTAAAGTGTGGGTTCGTATGATTGAAAACGTTGCCTTTATCAATTTGTCATATCCTACAGGTCACCAATGCACAATCTGGGCAAAAGGGTTAACATGATTACTTCAAGAACAAATGCATGGCGAGCACTGCGCGACGGTTTGAGCTATTTATCATGCAAGAAAATTAAACAAACAAAATTAACTGATCTTCAAAAAAAAAGAAGATGGTTAAGTTTGAAAAGTGGGTATATGTGCAAAGAGGAGATGCCCACATCATGCTCTCATTCATCTAAAACGAAATAGATCATCATTAATTAAAGTCGATTTAGTTATTTGGTACAGAACTGGCACATGCTTTCGTTCTATACTCGAGAGCAAAGTGAAAATTTCAAGACTTCAGGCCATGAAAGGTACAACATCTTTTTCATGAAACAATATTCACTTTGTTTGTTCTATTCTGCTTCGCACATGAGAGAAATGAAACGCCTTTTTATGCCACAGTTCAAATGGCAATGAAGTTTGATTCGTTTAAAACTTTATAATTGCTGCTTTGAAAGGGTGAGGTGTGGGTGTGGGTGTGAGGCTCTGGGAGTGGGGGTGTGAATGTGAATTTGGTGTTCGTGAAGAAATGAACTACACCTGCTCCCACACCCACACACCTATCCCACCGACACCCACCCTCACTCACACCCACAATAATATCGGTTTGGCATGTATGAACATGGACCTCTATTCAGAAGCAATTTTATTCTTCGAAACAGCACTGAAAATCGATCAAAACACACTTCCTTCAGATCATCCTAATTTAGCTATTTCCTATAACAACATTGGTACAGTGTATGTTAAAATGAGAGAGTACTCTAAAACACTTCCAATATTCGAAAAAGCACTTGAAATATGTAAAAAAAAAACTCTTCCTTCAAATCATTCTTTGTTGACTACTTCATATAATAGCATTGGCTGTGTTCTTACAAATGTGGGTAACAACTCAAAAGTACTTTCATATTTTGAAAGTGTTGAGGATATTTTTCAACATTCAGTCTCTTCAGACTACCCCTGATCTTCAACATGTACGACAGACTATTGAAATTCTAAAAAAACGAATTGTAAATTATGTTTTGTAACTCAAAAACATGCTTTCATTTACTTTACGTCACTCTATTATTTAGTCACTCTTGCGCGTATCTAGAAACTCTGTAAGTATGCAAGTACATATGGTAAAAGTAGATCGGTAAGTCAAAACACATACAGCGAATAAAGCTATGTCGGACTGGTTATGATATAGTCTGACACTGACTGGCCGGGTCGAGTGATGTGGGTGTGAGTGTCAATATTGAGTTTACTTGTACCCATATCGACCCATTAGCATTCACACCCATATCATTCAAATAATGTCATTCCTAGTCCTCAAGAGAGATTGCGTCTTAACGATCCTAAAAATGATATTGCTAAAGAACTGTTATCAGTATACGATAATAATATAGTTAACAAAAAATGGTTAAATATTTCTTGAAAAGTTAACTGGATTGGATCTATGGCCAAGAAAAACAGGTACTCGGTTTAGAAATAATCAAGATCCAGAAAAGAGATTTTATTATAAAGTAAATTTACCTAAAATAGGAGATCATCTGTATTTGGGGTACTGTATAAATGATTCGAGAAAATTACGACTAAACGAAGGAAGATTTATTCCGTAATCGATGGCTCTTAAAATTTTATTATTCTCTAATATGGTTTTTGGCTATTGGTTTTTTACATCTATATTTATATTTTTAATAAAACTTTTCAAATTAACCACATTTTTTTGCTTAAAATTTTCTTTAATTTTAAGAGCATACAATATCAAAAGAGAATTAACATTTTGAATAAAGATTCTTTATAGAAGCACTGGAATTATTGATTATAGTTGTCTTAACGATATATTTTTTAATAATTAGCATTGATTTATTTTTCCTATGGACTTGTTTGAAATAATAAAAAGACACCAATACATTAAACAAAGTTTGGAATAATTAAGATTACATTACTAGCTAGAAAATAAAAATCAAATGATAAATGTGACTATGGATGTAGCCGAAGAGAAGACCACATCCACACCCTACGGGGATATTTCCATGTACCCACTGGTGCTCATCTTCGATTATTTGTTTTATTGGGCTTTATCGTTGCACTATATTATTATTCTTTCGATATATGATTCTGTATTCGTGTCCCTCTGTTATTAATTTTAAATTTGTACGGGTATGCGTGTGGGTGACTCTTTTCTTCACAATACCCACACTCCACTCGACGCACCAAGATCCACAGCCACTCCATAAAAGCGAATATACAACTTTTTATATAAAAAAGTTACGTCCTGTTACCTTCTGTGGTTTTCTGTTGAATTTTGTCGTTCTTTTTAGACGATATTAGCATTCATTTTCTGTCTCTGGCAAATGCCAATTATTCAATCTTTACATACATTTATTGGTAAACATTGAGAATTTCATTTACACTTCGAGTTTCATTCTATTGAAGAAAGATATAAAAAATAATCGGTGATCTAACAGTTCTTACACAAATGTCTGTACGTTTTTGGTCGACTAAAATTTGTTTCATACCAATGCAAAGAGCTTTTTAACTGAATGTACAAAAAAAATTCTATTATGTATTGTCTTGAAATAACAAGCATATATTGGAATGGTACCAAAATGTGATTTGCACAGAAAAACGTAAATCATTTGATATTCTGTAATGAATTGATGACACTTCAATCTCGGAAAATATTTCGATGCCTCATTGTTTTTTTTTCATATTATTATATAGTTTTTTGCGTTTTATTTTTACAGAAATGTTTCCTGCGACAATGTGATTGTATATTCTATGCAGTTTGTCAAGAATTAAACGAAGAATTCAATTAAAAAAGATTAATACAATTCGATGAAACCCATAGAATAAAATCGAAAATTATAGATACATCATTTTCTTGTTACGCAGCAATTTTGAGCTGTTATTACAGGCGATGTCCTTGAATAAATTTTGATCATAATTAAAATTAATTCAAGTGACAGAAGAACCGAATCCGTAGGATACATTGCTTTATACAAACATTCGGAATCCTGTTATTGTGCGGATATTTTAATAAAAAATCTTTTTATTTAGTAGCTTTATTTCTGTCTCTCTCTCTCTACTGTAAAAGAAATGGATTCAAAAACTGAATGTTTTCAGGTCAGGAGTTATATTTTTGGGCCACTATGTAAGACAGTAGATAAGTGATGAAAGTACATTTATTATTATTGATCAAAATTAATCGTGACACCAATATATCGAGGCTTTGTGGTCGTGCTTGTCAATTGTCCACCTGAATTCACTTCCGGACCCCCATCACCGAACATTATGAATTGCATTAACCTTGCTGCAACTACTTTAAACTGAAATGTGGCCAAATCTTTTCCAAGACACTGACGATGACCACCTCCAAATGGTATAAATGCATATGGATGATGATTTTTATCTTCATTTAAGAATCTTTCAGGATAAAAGAGATTAGGATCAATCGACCATAATCGATTGTCATGTGCTAGATTATGTAATGGAATAAGCACTTGATCTCCTTTAAACAATTGTGCACCACTTTGTGGCAGACAATCATCGACGACTAATGTGCGAAATGTCATACTGGCGGGCGGAGAATAACGAAGTACTTCTTTAATGACACAATCTAAATACACAAGTGAATCGAGTCGATCAAGTGATAAATGTTGTTGATCACTGCTATCGTTCAATTCTGCTTTAATCTTCTGTTGTACTCGTGGATTTTTGCTCATCAAATGAATGAACCAAGTCAGAGCAGTTGCAGTAGTTTCGAAACCAGCAACCAACAACAGAAGTATTTCATCTAATACTTCGCTTCTGGATAGACCTATCCATAGAGAAAGATGACACATAATATAATAGGTCAACGATAGAGAATCATTTGTTTTACCTTTTTTTTCTTCCTCAATTTTATGTGCTTCAGCTTCAGTGTCTTCTTGTAATGAGGTAGCCAATGACGCAATCAAAGATGTTCTCTTTCGTTGAACTCTCCATTCTTTACTCTGCTTTAGTTCAGTATCAATAATACGATTCGAATATCGTCCAATGGTTTTCTTCGCTCGCTGATGTCGACGACTTAATTTCAAATAAAGAATATTTATTACTCTTGGCATATAGGAAATGAATTCAAATATGCTCAAAAAGCTCTTTAAAGCTTCACATAATTCATTGCTATTATCGATACCATCGAGTGTTTCCAAATCGTAATCAAACGCAATCCAACCAAAAATCGCAAGCATCAGATTTTCACTTTGGTGAATAATGTCACAATGGACATGTTGACTAGGACGGGTACGCCAGTTAGCCAAGAGTTTATCGGTACACTCGATCATGATATCTAAATTTGAAATAATTCTACCACGACGAAATAAATGCAGAATGTATGCAGCATGTCGTTTGTATTTTGCTCCTATGAATAATAACTAATCATTGAAACAAGTCAACAAATTGATCAGTCTAACCTTTCAAACAAATAAGACCATCAGAAAAAAGAGTACTGAGTCTTTGAATAAATATTTCTCCTTGATCATAGATTTGACGATTAGTAAAAATGTGTTGAACATCATCGACTCCACTAACAATAATCACACGTGATGGTCCGAACCAAAATTGACAGATATTACCAAAACGACTTTGAAACGTTGAGAAAGCTTTCGGAAGGGATCCGTCAGAAAACAGCAAACCAGATTGGATCAAATTTCCAAAGAAAAAATGCGGCGACAACCCAGGCAGAGGGCCTCGAAGAGTAAAATATTTTACTTTGCAATATGAAGCTAGTAAAACGAGGACAGCAACAACAACCAATATGAAAAGCATGTTGCTTCGTTTGACTAAAATATCGTACTAGGTATGCTTGATAACGTCCCAATACAATATGCGTTCTATGTTTCTTTTTACGCACTCATATTTATTCTACCATACCTGTGATACATTATTTGACGAGATTAAGCGTGATAAAAAAAAGCAAATCAATGGCAAAATGCACTTATGGGAGTGACATCTCTTTTGATAGAAGCTGCCAAGAAATAAATGATACAGCATCATAGTACATTGAATCCCTTAATAAACTGTATACTTTATTTTTTTATTTAAAGTGAGATTTACTCGACAGATGACGCTAGAATGTGGGTTGCGGTGTGAGTGTCGATATGGGTGTGTACGAAGATGGCCCACACCCATACTATTCTTTACACCTAATCAGCATCACCAAATAAAAAAAAGTTTACAGAGGTTATGGGAATATGGATGGGTGTGGGTGTGTTTTTCAAGTTAGGTTCTTAAGAGTGTTGCGGCCAGTAGTGTCAAACTTGAAACTTGAATTCAATTGAGTTTTCAAGTTTCAAGTGTCAAGTTTCTATCATTTTGTGACCAGTCTTTTCGGGATCAATCCTTCCGGGGCACCCACACCAGCTGCGATGCGACATGTGTTGCATTGTGACCAATCCTTTCGCGATGAGTGCGTTCGCGGCCAGTTCTATTGTGGGCAGTCCTTTTACGGCACCCACACCGGCTGCGATTCGATGTGTGTCGTATTGTGGCCAATCCATTCACGGTCAATCCTTTTGAACGAACTTCAAAGTTGAAAACTCAGTGGAATTCAAGCTTCAAGTTTTACATATATGATTACGAAAGTAGTAGTAAGCGCCTTCTCCTTCTCTCATAGGATGGCCCCTTTCTTCGCACTCTGCTTTTCTAATGGGTTATGCCTTAAACCTGATTCTGTCGACTCCATNAGCGAAATTTTTTCAGACAACTTGTGGTCAAAATCTACAGAAGAAACTGACCAGCTTGACCAGATCGTAGTCAGGATAATTTAGTAGAGTTTTATTTCCCCCACATTTCTCTTTCTAATGGCGAAAACCGCAAGTCTCTAGCTATTATCGTTCTCCAGATATTCAAAAAACATCGAGGTGCATTATATTTTGGTGTCGATAATAGTTAAAGTAGAATTAGTAATATTTTGTCTGAAAGTCCGAGACATATAGATCGAGATTTTAAATAAGAAATTTTGAAACTATTTACCTCCAACATCAAGAAAATTAGCTGGTTGTCCGCCATATAATTTAATAATATCCATTGTAGCCATAGCTAAACCAGCACCATTAACTATTTACAAAATAGAAAATTCGTATGATTAAATATGTTTTATTTTATTTACCAAGACAACCAATATTTCCTTGTAAACCAATATAATTTAAACCAGCATTAGTTGCTTCAACTTCACGTTGATCACTTTCAGTTGTATCTTCCATATCGAAAACAGCTTTTTGACGAAATTTTGCATTATCATCAAAACTTAATTTAGCATCAAAATTAATGACTATAAACGAAAATTAAAAACTCATCTATTTTCAATTGAACTATTAAATACAATTACCTCGTTTGTCGGGTGTTTCACCAAATGGATTAATTTCTAAACAAACAAAAAATTATTAATATAAAACGATAAAATTGAGTCGTAGTAACATTATTCAATCAAAATCTTGTCACTTATGTATAACTACTTGATTCTCATTATTTTGTTTTTTATGTTCTCTATGAAGAAAATATTGGATTGCAGATTTTTAAAAAAAATGAAGCGAAATCATCAAAAATTCATGTTTCATTTTGACTATGTATGTCTATATTGCAATAGAATTAAAATTTTACCTATTTGTGTACAATCATATTTTAAAAATAATTTATATAGCTTAAGGATTTGATCTGCTGCCTAAAAAAAAAAACAGACATTTTATTCATTTTTAAATAATAAATAAAATTAGAAAACAAACTTCATCAGCTAATCTATCTTTAAATCCAAGTTTTTTTGCCATATCTAAAGCTTGTTCTTTTTTCATACCAATCACTGGATCAATAGCGGTCTAAAACAATTCAAAAGAGACAAAAAAAAAAAGCAATTTTTTCTTCTTCAAATTTTAATACAAAATTTCCTACAGTAAAAATTTGATCCGCATGTTTTTCTGCTACTTCTTCAATATCAACACCACCCATTGGTGAACCCATTAATACAGCTCCACCATATGCACGATCAAGTAAAATAGCTAAATAAGTTTCACGTTCGATATCTAATGCTTCAGCAACCATAACCTATCAAAAAAAACCATTTGAAAAATATTTTCATTTTCAAATTTTCTATCCAAACCTTTTGTACTTCAACACCTTCCGGTGGTGTTTGTTTTGTAACAAGACGATATTTAACCATTTGTTTTACAATATTACCACATTCAACTGGACTATAAAAACAAAACATATGAATTAAATTATCTTTGAAAATGATATTAATTTACTCTTTTGTAAGTTTAACACCACCTTTTAATCCACTATCAAATGTACCTTTACCACGACCACCAGCTAAAATTTGTGCTTTAATAACTAATTCTTTAGCAATTGTTTTCACTGAAATAAAATTTTTATTATTTTTCTTTTCTTTTTATGCATAAATAATAATATCGTACTTAATTCTTCTCCAGCACGTTTAGCATCTAGAGGATTATCAACAACTTGAAAACGTTGAACATTAAGATTATTATCATTGAGAATTTTTTTGCTTTGATATTCATGTAAACTAATCCAACGTCGTGACTTGAAACGAAAATAAATAAATAAATATTTTCTAGCAAATTATTTATCTTCATGAGTACCTGATATGTTGTACAAATAGCTGGATTTTGACGAACAGTTGAATAGCATAGACGAAGTACAGCTTGAGATTTCATCTTTCTTTTGCTTTGTTAGTTTCTACTCCGAATAAAAAAGCAAAAAAAATAACGATCGATTTTCAACTAGAAACAACATGATACTGATTGGTAGACTTAAATTAAACGAAAGTTCAAATTATTGTATATAGAAAAAATAGTCATTTTTATTAAATTAAGATATAGAAAACCGACAAAATATGAAAATTTAGTATGGAAAATAAATTTATTTGACAGTGACATCTATGTATCGGTTGCTAAGTAACGCAAAAGCAATTGATATTCGTTATGTACGTCTGATCAGTCACAGGTATAAAGAATTATGGCAGGAAGAGGTCGTGGACGTGCACCAGGTGAATATATTAGTTTACCTCCAAATGCAGCATCACATGTTGATGCTTATTTTGAATATCGAGCGTATGTATTTCATATAAAAATGAATTATCTATCGATATTTCTATTTAATAGAATTGTTGGTGATGATGATGGTGGAAAATTATTTACACCAGAAGAATATGAAGAATATAAAAGACAAGTTTTACCAATGGTACGAATTTATTTTGCTGCTTTTTTTATTCATTATTAAATAGAATATTAGATTACACGAAATAATAAAAAACTTGAAATTCTAATAAATATTTGTTTAAGGATGAGAATCGATGAGTTATTCTTTGCTATGTAACAAAAGAAATGATTTTTTTTACATTGTGATAGAAGGTTCCGGCACATGTTCAATTATAAAGAATCTTGTTTTTGACCCGTTAGATATTGAATTGAAAACAATTTTTTTTTCATTAGATCACCAGTATATTCCATAGTCGAGGTCAGTTAAGTAGTAAATCATCCCTAACCCTATTTTTGTGAGACTAATTGACTAGAGAAGAAGTAGTAAATTAGTTTTTTTTTTCGAAAGAAGAGTTTGAATATATATATATGATTCATATGAAACTAAACGAATAAGTCAGATGGATGTAATCAACTTTAAAATCTTAAGTTTCTATATAATCTGATTATTTACTTTAAGCGTCTACACAATCGATTATATATATCATGGGTAAATCCTCAAGGAATGGATTGTATTCTTGTTGGACCACAACATAAATGTCTTTGTCGACATAAGTAAATTTATTATAAATTAAAATTCATTGAAAATCTTTTGTTTTTCTTTAATCAAGATTTACTGAACATAAAACTGATTTTCCTGAAATTCCCACTGAACGACCAATTCTTATTTCATGTCGTCAACCTGGTTGTCGTTGTGTTTCATTTGAATATGTTGCAAATTCGTCGGGTACAAGTGATCCTAATTGTCGTTGTAAACATTCACTCGATAATCATGCAACACGATCACCATATAAATGTCAAAAAAGTATTGCTTTTTTTTTCTTTGAATCGCAAAAAAAAGACATTCACTTTTAATTTTTACATAGATTGTAATTGTACTGGATTTTCAGCTCCATTTACATGTTCATGTGGTGAACCAGCTTATAATCATATAACATTAGTTGAAACAAAAGAAGAAAGAGAAAAACGTGGCCATCCAACTGGTTATGCAACACCATATAAAGCAATGGGTGGTTTAACAGGATTTAGTTCATTAGCTGAAGGATATTTAAGACTTGATCCTAGTGGACGAGGTTGAAGAGAAAAAATTTTCTTTTTTAAATTTCAATCATTGTTATGTATTATAGGTCGACCTGATGATAATTTTCTTAATCAACCAATAACTGCTCTGGATCATCCAATTCTTCGTGCACATGCATCTCATGATCCTAATAGTGAATATAATTTTACTTCACAAAACTTTTTTATCATTTGTTTTTGTTTTTTTTTCTAAAAGGTGCTGAAGCACAATCACAATTGCGTCGTCCTGGCGAATCAGAATTGGATTATTATGAACGTCGTTATCAAGAACGAGTAAATGATAAATATTGTTATCGATTTTTCACTTTTTATTGTTTCTCTTAGCAACGTCTTTCACGCGGTATACGTCAAGGACCTAGTCCTTATGATGCCAATGCTAAATTGACTACTGGTACTCGAAATGACAAATCACCACAACGACGAATTACTGGTGGCAAAAAATAAGACATGCCGTGTTTTTTTTTCAGGGGGATTGGGTTGCTTTTGTATACTATTTTGGGATTTATAAATATATGATAAACAAGCCGGTGAACAGAAAATTAAGTTTAAAAAAATCAATTTCGATTGCAAAATCATTTTTGCATCATTCGACTTGTGCTTTAACAATAGTTTTCGTATCCGATTGAAATTTCGCCTTAGGATGGGTGGTCAATAGAAATCAAAGTTCAAACATTGAATCATAAAGAAAAGTCATCTCCAGTTAAGTTTTCTTTTTTTCTCCTCTATGCCATAGCTTCATTAATTAAATAAATGAGATTAAATGCAAGAGATAGTAAAATCATGCAGATATGTCAAATTTCATCTTATTCTTCCTTCAGTGTGTAGCTAAAATTGAAGTAAAAGTATTTCATAGTAAGTTTAATTGAAATACACCTCCCGTCCCTCGTTTTCCGGGTTTCTCAAAAATGGCTCAACAAAAAATATAAAACATCAGGATAGATGGATCTTGACTGGTAGAGGGGTGGGGTGTGGGTGTTGGTTTTATTGTGACAGCCATGCTTGCTTACACCCATACCCAAAACATTTGAAAATATTCTTTTAAAAAGATCATCAGAATGTATCAGCTAGTGAGAAATGTAATCTAGAAAAGTAAAAAGGAGACACTTCAGATTCGAGATCATAGGTTGCTTCGGTGGATTCCAATGGACTTTGGCGACGTTCAATAAGTTTCAGTGCGATTTCTTCTTCGGTGGTATGAATGACCCGGATAGGTGCTGATGAAAACGATTAGTGTGGATGATGAGAAGATCCTCACTTTCATTGACACTCCTCATCCGCATCCTCCTTTCCTCAATTTGAAGCGACACAAAGTTGTGGATAATATCAGAACGCTATTATGACAATCACTAATAAATACGTATAGAAATTCTGGAATAAAAAGAAGAATAAAATTTCGAAAAACAGTCAATCAACTTCTTTAATAAGTATATCGTACGGTCGAATATCTTGAGGGTTAGATACGAGTCATATATGATATCATTATGTTTGGTGAAGTTGACATCTTTGGATTCACAGCTACTTGCAACATACATTTTATTTTTTCGGTCCTTTTTTTGTATTTAAGTCAACAGTTTCGGCATATACACTGCGTTCGAGTCAGTTAGGATTTGGAAGAAAATTAAATATCACCTTCACAACGAGCCCTTCTTGCGGTTCCAGCATCTCCGAATCGATGCAATCAATTGTTGTTTTCATATTTACTCAACACTTTTAGTCCATATTGTCACGTATTGTCGTTAATACGTAAATGCCGGAAAATGTATTGTATTATCAATTGCGTAATACAATCGAGGTCAAGGTCAATAATGATGTTTTATTGACTTGAAGAACAGAGACAAATAACAAGTTAGATGAAACGAAACTAACAAGAGTAACTGACTACTAAGAAGAGAAAGACGAACATATATATCTGTCTATATATGCATAGAAATGATGACTCATGTTAATGGAATGAAGAATAGAATAAAGAAACGAAAGAAATATAACAATAGAAATATTGTTATATACGAAATTAGAATGATCACAACACAAAGGAAAAGAACACATAAATATATGTATAGAATTATACATATATGAAAATCATGACTCATCAGTAGACAAACACCAACAGATAAGAAATGAAATAAATGTAACAATAATAACAATTATTGTCAATACACTACAACGCCTATCTTCGATTTTATTACGTAGAATCGTGAAAAGAAGAAAGAGTCCACAAATGTTTCTCATTTTGCGAAGTTTATGGATAATCAACAAAATATTTCTTCGAAGACTAGAAGACGTTTTTCAGCATATTTCAATCGTTAACTTTCTGTTCTTGTTCAACAAGAGCAGTAAGCGCATAATTCTTTTTCTTGAGATTAGTATATGAGAAAAATGAGTGAAATCGAACAACACCTTCACTCTCGTAAGAGTGACGATACAAAAGTATTTCATGAAATCTTTGCACTCATATTCAGCATTCGTTTCATTTTACTCAAATGATAGCTATGAATGATATATTTTACAAACTATCGAGAAGAGTAATATGCACTCATAGTTTCCGAGTTGAACACTAGTGTTGATTAAGTTTCAACAGAAAGCTAGAATCTTATTTGTTCGTAACTCTCCTTTCTATACATGTTTTCGTTGATAGTGTTTTTATCAATTTCAGATTGAATCGTGACATAACTACACAGTTATTTCTCGTCTCTTTATGCTTATCACATTCACAAAAATTTCTTTTTTCTATGATGTTGTTTTTACTCTAGCTAATGAATTGGAAGATACGTTTCTCTTTCTTCATCGTATTAATCAATAATCTTCATAATATTATATTTAAGAAAATGAGTAAGACATGTTTCTAAAAATCATAATCGTGCCTACGATTATTATGTATAACAGAATATAGTTGGTTACAAAACGAAACATCATTAATCATTCTTTTTTTCTTCAACATTCACTTGACTGAAGAAACAGTTTTGTTATTCCTCTTCGCTCATTGATTTTCTATATGCTCTTCTTTGGAGTCAAAGTGGAACTCACCCTTCTTATATTGGTGTTGTTCTTTTGTTTGGCTTTAATGCGATACCTGATCTATTGTTAATTGTTTTCAATTATGTATTCTTTGATCATATACCTTTCGACAACCATCATCTACGTCATCTTGTCAAGTGTAGTTTCATATTGACTTGGGTCAATCTTGTTTTAAAATTCACTTTACTGTCGGTGGGATTTCCACTCTCTAATGAGTGTTGTCATAGATCCCACATTTGGATCTGCTTGTCATGATCCTTACTCAATCTTAACGATATATTGTTGACCATCTGGCTCTATATTTCTTTCAGAGAAGCAAAACAGGAAAACTCACATCATCAATCGTTACTCAGTGTAAATATTGTTCTATCATCGATGGTATTCGTGTTCATCTTAGGTTGATACTGTTGTTGCTCTGGACAATTTTTGCACACCTGGTCTGAAGATGACAAGATTAAAAATGAGAATCTAAATGCATTTCAGTGTTCTTTATCTATATTATGCTTGATTGTCATTTTCTCATCAAATAAAAAAGATTAAATATGATGTAAATATACACTCTGCCTGTTGTTTCTTCAGTTCTATCTTGTTTTCTACGTGTTGAATGTAAATATTGTTTATGGACAATTCGTCCTAAATCAAAATCATTTTCTAAAATGCCATTGAATGATTGATCATCACCAGAATAGATTGTCTAGAAGATAGAAGAAGCTTGATTATACCGACAATTACCTTTCAAAAGCACATTGAAGAAGCAAGACGATAATTGTGACTGCTATTGAATAGATGGATAAGTATTGTACAGCTTGATTACATTATTTTTGATAGTTTTGTGCAATTTGATGTATTTATGTAAAACATTGGAGATTTTTTATTTTGATACAGTCGGATAGAGCATTAATTACTCTATCGAATTATATAATTGTTATTTTATATCTTGTCCAAAAATTTGATAAAATCTGAGAACCGCTGAATTGAAACTTTTGCATGCTCATATTTCAGGAAGAGTACACTTAATAATAATGAAAATTAGTTCGGATGGAAAAAATCATCACAAGTTCTCGTACATAAAATATTACACAAAAAGGGATTCAAGATTGAGGAGAAAAGTTACCATTACTGTTAAATTTTGATCCATTTTTTGCACCTGTGAAAAACCCAGTTTGAGTTTTGGTAAAAATTCACTTGTAAGACTTGACGTAAATTTGATCCAAACTATGTAAATCAAAATGAAAAATCAACGCTCTATTCGGATGCATGTCAAAGAAGATTAGATATTTAAAAAAACCAAAATTTCTCCGAAAAAGAAGCAGAAAATCACATTTGGAAAAAGTTCACGAAAAAGTTTCTGAGAAATTCATTACGTTTATACTAGAAATATGAAATAAGGGCATCGAAAGAGATATAGTTCAATAGAGAAACAACGGTCTATTATTCTGTATAAAAATAAAAAGTTTGAGTGTTCCAAAACATAATAGCTACCGAAAAAACTCCCTCTGCACTGATCTGAAAATTGCTACGTAAAAAAAGACTTTCTGACTGTGGAAGTGAGTGAGTATGTGTGTATAGGAATAACCTTTACTCAATCTCACACCTATACTCACGTCCTTTCTGCGACTCAAAATCTATTTTGCTGATATAGTTCATCAATTCACATCGACACGACACAATGTTATTAAAATAAAAGCGAATAAATGCTTTAAATGGCAATGTTCAGTAGATCTCTTATATTTTCTAAGATGCAAATTGATATTAATCTTGTCGAATCACAATCCACAAACTATCTATCGACCTTCTATTCAACTTGTATCATCCATAATGATATTTTTTAATAAAAATGTCTGAAAGATAAAGTCAAATGTTTGAAATATGGAACGATAAAATGGAAATGGTAAACGTCAGACAAAGAGGCTGTCTACATGACAACTATTAATAATATATAGTATCATATAAATCTCAAATCATACTCAGTGGATATTATCAATATTGTTTTATTGAAATGACAAATCTGATAAAAAGTGCCTCTGAATAATACAAATATTACTGAAAACAAAGATTTTTTTTTTAATTTGTTCAATTAATCGTATATAAGTTTGCCGATAGATATTGTCACCTGTTGAAGGTGGTCGAGACTCTTCTTCAATGCTTTCTTATTATTAATTAATATCAATAAATGAACAAATTCAAGGTTAAATATTTAGAAAAAAGCGATCTGTTCAACTACTTGGTTTGCGATATTATTAGTAGTCTAAAAAGTATGCCAAAAATTAAGCTGAATACACCACATGTAGTAGCAACCTGATTCCAGGTTCGAGCTTGCTTTGAAGCTTTCAATGCACCTTGAAAATCATTTCTTTCTTTTAACCGTTGAGCCTTATTTGCATAGCAGTAAGCCACACATCCAAGACCCAAGGAGCAGCATAATATATTAAGAATAGACCAAACTATGTAAGTTTCTATCTGGTGTATCGATTGAGTTGGAGAAATTGATCGTACCATGATGAATGATTGTGTACATTCGTCATTGTTTCTCGAACCTGATCGTGATTGATAATGAACTTGAAGAGAAGTATCTGTGTTGTTTACACATGATTCATAAGAAGGTGGCTCGGTAAGAACAACATTTTTTGTATTTTGCTCTTTCGATTGAACATTTTGAATTGAATTTGATGTAGATGCGCTTTGAATTTCATCAATAGTACTTGCCATTCTCTATGAAGCAATAAATAGAATATTTTCATCAAACTGATTTTATTTGAATCATTTATTTCCTTTTTACATGTTAGTTAACCGAGAGAGATAACAATGCTAGATTTAGATCATGACTTTCTGCAGTTCTTAGTAAAAAAAAATTCTTTTTTCTAAGTCTTGATTTATATAATATAATATAATATAAATGTTCACTGTATAAACTTGACGATTATAACAAAATCAATAGTTAAAAAGAGCTTGGGTGTTTTTTTACATCTAATCACTAAAACAGGGAGAAACAACAGAAAGAAAAACAAATGTATCACAAAATATAAGCATGGATAACCTAGAATACTTTCTACAAATATAAACGTAAGAGAACTTAATTGACTCTAAGATTTTCATTCATCTATAAAACGAAAGTATGGGTGCGAGCATAGTTTTGGCTTTAGTTGTACTGTTCAATCTCGTTGACACTTATCATGACCAAAAATCGATGCTGATTTCGTTTCCATGATGACTCGATCGTGATTCAATTATCAGCCACTTTCTTGCATGGCTATCGATGTTTTCTATTATTATTCTTCATACTTTTAAACATTAGTGAAAACATTAAACGAGCAGAGATTTATCAAGACTTTACTATTTTAAATTATCATAACAATCCAAAACCATGTTTTAAAGTTATTAGGATTTAATTTCTTTTAAGAAGGAGAAATATGACTGATATAACCTATTCACTTGACTCTATTACTGATTTTGAATTTCTTATTGATCAATTATCTTCAAAATAGACTTGTCACTTATTCATAAGTTATAAGTTTAGCTACATTAATGAAACACGAACTTCAATTTAATATCTAATGACGAAGACAAAAAAGACATTTTATAAGTAGAATAAAACTTCGAAATGTTCTACTAGAATATCGTAAAGATTACTACGAATCGTATTTATACAGATATCAATATAATTCTATTCTATATATAAAGCTCTTCGAAATAAAAGGACTTATCAACTGATCTAATCATTTCAATGAATCTTATTACTAAATAAGAAACCTAGAAGTAGATTATATTATTCATTACCTACTTTTTTTTGTTGATGATAAGATGATCAGCAGCATAAACACAACAAGTGTAGACAAAGCTACTTGTTTATACAGTATAGTAAAAGAATGTGGGCCTTGACTTAAAGTTTTATCGAAAAATATTCTCCTACATCATTTAGAAATGATAAGTCCTACAGACATACTAAAAAATGATTGCATCATTGCACATACTGCCATATAGAAAGAAAAAATATGCATGTAGACGAGAATGAAAAATCAAAACATGGAGAAAAATATTGACTCTTTATGTTCTGTTAGATGAGTTTTGATCCACATAGTATGAAGATTGAGAAAAAAACCATATAAAATCATTCTTTGTACCTTGTAAAAAGTTACTTGAAAAAGTTCAAGGCAGTTTTACTGTTGATCATGTTTAGTCAATATTTGTTTTGATGAAACACTTTTCTTCTCAAAAAAACAAAACAAAACAAGCGTGTTCTAATCATTATGATTAATGCACTTATCTTATTGGAATCCAAATTGAATGAGATTCTTATTCGAAATATCAAGATATGAAACACATTCCTCATATACCCATTCGTCTTTTTGCAAATACAAGATATATTACGCAATGAGAAGTTGCTCTCAGAAAAAGAAAAAAACCTACAATGGTACATGCTGTCTTTCTTTATACATCAGAACAAACAACAAAATATTTTTTTTCCCTATTAAAACTGAGATTGCAAAGATAAATTAGAATTATATAATCTTAATCTTAAAGTCCCATAGGCTTATCGCCCGTTGGGGCCAACCACAGATCGGATGATATCTTTCCACTGGCTCCTGCTTTGCGCGAGGTGAACCAGGTCTTGGCATCCGTAACCGCACCATTCCGTAATATCGTCGAGCCATTCTCTGCATGGTCGACCTCTTCTAGGTTTTCCGTTAATTCTTGAAAATACCACATGTTTTAGGAGTCTAGTATTATCCATCCTGCAAACATGTCCGAATAGTTTTAATTTTCTTCTTTTGATTTTATCTATTATTGTTTCATGGGCACCAATTTGTTTTCTGATATCGATATTTCGCACCATGTCTTTCCAACTGATCTGAAGTAATCTTCGGTAGCACCGCATTTCAAACGCCAGTAGTTTCTTTTTGTCACCTTCTTTTAACGTCCATGTTTCACAGGCATATAGTAGTACACTGAAAACACAGGTAGTTAAAAGTTTTAGTTTGTTTTCGATCTTTATCTTTTTTGTGTTCCATATATGTTTCAAACTTGCCATTGCACCAATTGCTTTGTTGATTCTTCTCTTGATTTCTTTTGAGCAGTTATTGTCCCACGTTAGCATGCTACCGAGGTACTCAAACTCCTCAACATTTTCGATGGTTGCACCTTGTATTTCCATTTCCATGTCGATAGATCTACCACCAAACACCATTGTTTTTGTTTTGTTTGTATTCACCGAGAGTCCTGCTTCTGCTGCCGTTGTTGTAAGTTGTTCAATTTGTTCTTGAAGTGAGATATGATTCTCACTCAAAAGATCGATATCATCAGCAAATCGTAGGTTATTGACCACTGTTCCACTAACATTTACCCCATTGTTTTTTGACGTTGTTTTATCCATTATTCTTTCCAAATATGCAATAAACAAAAGTGGTGACAGAGGGTCACCCTGTCTAGTGCCGACGTTCGTTTCAAACCATTCACCAATATCCGTGCCTATTCGAACTGCTGACCGAGATTTACCGTAGATTTTTTCCAGTAATATGACCACCTTGTTGTCCACCCCATACGACCTAAGAACAGCCCATATGATATTGTGTTTGATTGTATCAAAAGCTTTGGTGAAGTCGATGAAGCAATTGTAGATTTTTTTGCCGTTGCGTTTTGCTTTTTCCGCCAGAAGTCTGAGTATTAGGATTTGGTGTGTTGTATTTCTGTCCTTCCGGAACCCCGCTTGTTCCTCGGACATATATGGATCCAAATGTTGTTTCAACCTGTTGAGTAATACCATTAGTAACACCTTTCCCGTATGATTGATTAAAGATATTGTTCTGTAATTCAAGCACTCACTGGCGTCACCTTTTTTGGGAATTGGCACCAAGATTGATCGTCCCCATTCATCTGGAATTGTTTCCTCTTCCCAAGCTCTATTGCACAACTCATAAATTTTGTGTACCAATTTTTCACCACCACTTTGAATCATTTCCGCTGTAATTTCGTCGGTTCCTGGACTTTTGTTTTTCTTGAGTTTTTGTATTGCATCTTGTACTTCATTATATAGTATGCCATATGATGAATTGTCGTTTGAAGGACTTATGTTTACCAGTTCTTCCACTACCTTTTCCCCACTACCATTATCTTCGTACAGTCCACTGCAGTATTTTGTCCACCTTTCCATGATGCCTTGTTTCGATTGTACTATTGTGCCATCTTGATCTCGTATAGCTGTTAATTTTGGTTGAAATTTCTTTTTTAATAGTTTCACCAAGTTGTATGCTTGCTTGCTGTTACCAACTTTCAATCCCATTTGAATTTCTCCACATTGAGTTTGTATCCACTTGTCTTTGTCTTTCCTTGCTGCTTTTTTCACCTCGTTGCAAAGATGTTTGTACTTGTTGTTGAGTTGTATTGAGATGTGTTTCACTTGTTTTGCTTTTCGTTTTTCATCTGCTAACTCCAATGTTTGAGTTGAGATCCATGGTTTCTTTGATGTTGCTTTTTGAGTGGGTATGCTCGCTTGTAATGCTTCTTTAATTGCTTTTTCAATTTGTAGTGCATGGTCATCTATGTTTTTCGTTGTTTGAATGTTGTTTAAGTTGTTTTCCAAGTGTTTTTGATATGATGTTTTGGTTGTTTGATCATTGAGCTGTTGTATGTTGAGTCGTTGATTATATTTTGGTTTATTGTGTAGGTTTTTCAGTCTTAGTTTGATATTGCACAAAACTAAGGAATGGTCAGAGCTGATATCAGCTCCTTGGAATGTTCTACAGTTGACGACAGATGTTTTCCAACGTTTTTGTATCATGATGAGGTCGATCATGTTTTTGTGTATACCATCTGGTGATTCCCATGTCCATTTGCGAATTGGTTTTTGTTGAAATCTTGTGTTACAAATAAATAGATTATGTAGTGTTGCGAATTCCAATAGATGTTCGCCACGTTCGTTTCTTGTTCCATATCCATATCTGCCCATGACGGCTTCCCAGCCAGTATTGTCATTACCCACCTTGGCGTTCCAGTCACCAGTTAGTATAAGTATATCTTTTTTTGGAGTTTTTCCTATAGCGTCTTCCAAATTGCTATAGAATGCTTCGATGTCATTTTCTGTTGCGTCAGATGTTGGGGCATATACATTGATTATTGTTATATTGAATGGTGTTGCTTTAAACCTTGCAGTGATTAATCTTGGATTGATTGGATTGTAGCTCATAAGAGCCTTTCGAGCTCTTGTGCTGAGTAACATTCCAACACCTTTATTGTGTGTATTGTCATTCCCGCACCAAATGAAGTCACCGTTTGTTGTTTCACCTTTTCCTGTCCACCGTACTTCGGAAATGCCGATGACGTCGTAACTGTAACGTTTCATTTCATTTCGTAGTAGTTCCAGTTTGCCAGTCGCCCATAACGTTCGAACATTCCATGTGCCCACAGTGAAAGTATCTTTCATCAATTTGAGTTTGTCTGAGCCATACTTGCTCGCTGTTGTTTGCGTTGACGTTGATGGTGTCGTTGTTGTTGTTGTTGTATATCTTTTTGTTACGGTTTTCATATGAGTGGTTGTTCCAGTAACCAATTTTTCGATTCTGTCCTGGTTCCACGACAGAGGACGCGGACCTTGTTCACCCGGGCGCCGTCCGAGCCGGTATAGTTTTTGATATTTAACGTTCATGGTTGGTTTCTTTCGTCTTTTTCTTTTTACAAACGGCGGTATCTGCACCCCTTCCGTCTAACGCTCCTCCTTTTTCCGGACTTGCGACCGGCACAGAGATCACTGGCTTGTGATCCCCATGGTGGAGTTAGAATTATATAATGCTGGAATGATTTCAATAACTACGATTTTCTATTCAACTCATTGTCATACAATTTTGACTAGGGATGAATAATGAAAATGGCATAATATATTTTGTAGAGACGAAGCAAAAACATGACACCATATGGTAAAAATAGAAAAGGTCACAAAAAAGACGTCGAAAATAGGTGAAAATATCAAAAAATTTAGTGATCTTATAATATTCTTGAGTCTCGATGTGAATCACGGAAACACTTACAGCTGCACTTATATTTCCAGACTGATTTGCATCTGAATAATCTATATTATTGTTTACTAACAATAGTTTTCAATTCAACTATTGTTCGATGTTTTAGGAGTGGGTGTGCGTCAATGGAATGCTCACACCCACACCCTATATCACGTTTTTCTAAAATGGTTTCTCAATGGTTTTGGTCAAGTTTATCGAAAACAAAATCTTTATTCATGTAAAAGTTCTGAGAATTTGATTTTCAGGGATGCATTAGAATCACCAACTACATGCCTCCAAACTGTGCAAATCCAACTTTAGTAGTTCCGATCTATCGTGAGTTACATATATTTTACTAATTTTTTTCCACCGAGTTTTCACGAAAAATTGGTTTATTTTTATAATTTTTTGACAAAAATTGCGTCGTTTCAACCTATGAAAAAGCATAAATTTTTTCAAGAAACATGACCAGAACCTTTGAGAAACTATTTTAGAAAAATATTATATACACAGTTCAATGCAGTTTCATCTCGTCTTTCGAACGATGAAAACCAGTTTTCCATCTGTCATATTTTGCATATTGCCACTTGAACATAATAAATTACTTGTAATCAAGTGAATGTCGTTTATATGCAAGACACCAAAAATGATGTAGCATACAGTTTAGAAATTAATAAAAGCGATCTTATTTTTTTCGAATAGGCTCTTCGAAGTAATGCAATACATCGCCGAGTTCAAGCAGCAGCTACTTCTGTCAAAACAGATGATCAAGATCAATCATCAACAACTACTACTAATGAAAAGTCAAAAACTATTGTTCAATTACCTTATCAAGCTATATAACATTCATCAAAAATTTTTATTGATAATAAAAATCATTTAACAAATGATAAACGTTTAAAAGCAATTATTTTACATAAAGCAGCTGCTGTTTATTTTTGTCTTATTGATCGAAGTGAAAAAGACAAAAATTATAGTTCTTGTTTACGTTATCTTCGATTAGCACTTAATTGTTGTAGTAAGAATTTTACATGAAAAAAAAAATCTTTTCTTTCTATTTTTTAAAAGGTGTGGAATTAAAACTTCAATCAATGGATCATCATAATAGTACTACAGAATGTAAAAAATTATTATCGTATATAATGAGTATTGCTGGTGATTGTCGATTAATGGTTGCACATGTAATATCCAAAGAAGAAGAAAAATATCGTGAACAATATCACATGATGAATGAAGTTGATCTTGAAACTAAAAAAGTTATTGATGAAGTAGGTATTGATGTTAATTCTTCAAGTAATTAGTTTTGTTTTGATGATGAATCGTATTTTAATTATTAACTATTTTTTTGTTTTTCTTTTTTCTTTAAGAATTTGCATGGGTATCAGAATTAATAACAAATATTGATCGTAATCTATTTGCTAGTGTACATGCTTATCAATATGCAATAAATATAGCTCGAAATCTTGGTGATCATGAAAAAAAACGTTTTGGAAGTGTTAGAAATGAAATGGGTATTTATTGGATAAATAAATGTGCATAAGCTGTAGAAAATTTAGATCAAGAAGCAGCAAAAGTGCGTTTTTTCAATTAAAAACAAAGTCTTTCTAATATTCCTAGATATTTTTAACATATATCTATCGAACCAGAACTGTTACTATTAATTCATGAGATTCATCAACTGTTAGTTATTATATTTGTGGACACTGAAATTTTCCCGGGTACTTCAGAAACGCAACGGGCTCTGCGGTGCATAAAAAGTAACAAAAGTTTGCCTAAAAATTAAGAGAAATCTATATTTTTCGAAGGAGCAAATAAAATTTTATTCGGTTAACATAAGATTATGTGAGAATAATTATTCAAATTATATCTGAAGTTCCTCTGTCTAAATCACAGATCGTTTTCATAAATTTTTACAATGTTTCTGAAACCGACGATCCTATGTTATCTCTATCGACTAGCGAAAGTGGCAGCACTCTAGCTCTTCCCGTTCTTGAGTTATTGTGAAAATAACTACGGTAATAAATTCTAGCATCCATCATTATTCGTAAAGTGAATAAGTTAAATATATACATGTTACAGTACCATATATATTTTTTTAAACATATTATTTAGAAAATAAAAGATCATTTTAGAAAAAGTTTTGATGCTGGTATTCAAGCATTTGAAAAAATCAATGATATAGGGTGTCCAGGAATTCACTAGAGAAAGAAAAATTTCAATATTTTCGTCATATTTCGACCATATGGACTGATATTTTTATCATCGATAAAGGAGCGTTTATGGTTCATATTTATAAGAGAAATGTTCTCAAAAATTATTTTCAAGTAGTGCAACTGACTTCAACATAAGATCTATAACATTTCACCGGTTATGAAAAATTAATATTGTGGTTTTGTCAACGGATTCTTATTGTTTATGGTTGAAGCTTTCGGAGCACACTAAGTAACAAGAAATGTCTGCAGGATTAATAAGATCCCAAACGACGCTAGTATGAACCATTAATTGAAATAATTAGATGTCGTTTATTCTTGGCTAAGAAAATAAATATATGGTTTTTCATAACTTGTGAAAGATTGCAGTTCATTGTTAAAATCAATTGTAAATATTTCCAAAGGATTTTTAACAACGTTTTTCTTTTGAAAGTGACCTATGAACATTATTTTATCAGTGGTAAAAATATTAGCCCATGTGATCGAAATATGGCGAAAATATTGAAATTTTTCTTTGTCTAGTGAATTCCTGGACACCCTATATATCAAATATTGACTTATTACATTCAAATCTTGGACGTTTAATAGGATATTATGCACTATTTTATGGACTTGTTGTCAATGGTAAACCCCTCCCCAGAATACAAGGGCATGGTTTTATATTGCGTCTCCGCACATCGTTACTTTTCGGGTGGCCTTCTATTGAGGTTAAATTTTGACCAATTATTATTTAAAAATTTTTAAAAGCTAGAATAATTAATTATAGTTAATTATTAATTTTAATTGATGTATTTCGGGTATTTTTCGTGGAAAAACTGCTGTTTTCATATAAAAATGTGCTATCAATGATTGAATATGGAGTGATTTCCCAGAAAAGCAGTACTTTTTGACTAATTATTAATTAATATTTACGAAAAATTAAATATTTTTATAACTAATTTATTTATTAGTGCATGGCCTTCTAATAGGGCTGATGAATTTTTGTTCAGACGTGGCCTTCTAATAGAGGTGGTCCTCTAATATGGGATGGCCTTTTATTCTGGGGAGGAGTTTATTCGACAAGAACTTTCACAACAAGAACGACAAAGTTATCAAAAAGCATTTGATTATTATCTTCGAAGTTTAAAATTAGTTGAAAATCGTGCTAATTTACATGATGTTTATCGTACTTTATCATGGAAATTATCAAATAGTTATTTTACAATGATAACATCACTTCAAGATTATGCACCATTAAGTAGAATGTCGCAAGAAGATGTGAAATGAAAAGACGAAAAAATGAATTTTAATTTGTTTTTTTTTAAATTTATTTTATTTATATTGAAAAAGCAACTATTGCTTGTATGACACATGCATCAACATATCTTGATGTTGAACTTGATATTCTATCATCAGATAAATATTCTCTTGCTAAATATTGAGCTCCTACAAGAGTGTGGGTGGTTGTTTAACAATCGAAGACCTACACCCATACCCACACTCCACCCACATCATTATGTGAAACTCTTGGCCAATTTTTTTTTAATTTTTAGAGAAAACTGTAATACACCGTTCGGTGCGTCTTCATCTCTTCTTTGTAATGGTGAAAACTGTAGCTTTCTACAGCCGTTCTACCAAAAGTTATTCAAAAAAATACCTATCCGCTTTTCTTTTTCGAAGTGGCCAACAGTTAAAAATGACGGAATTTATCATTGAAAGATATTATATCTATTGAATATTGTTTTGTACTGGTAACAAATGATTCATTAATGACTGAATGATTTTTAGGTAGACAGACTAGTCTTAAATCTCTGATTATATGACAATATATTATACCAATGTAACTAGAAAATTAACATGATTAATATTGTTTTGGTCTTATATGTTCTGTCATAAATTAGTTTATTTATACCTAAAGTAATATTTTCAGCAACAAGTTTGAACATATCTTTATTAAAAATAATCGAAAAAGAAAGAAGTTTTGATTTAGTTGAGGAAAAAGGATAGAAATCAAAGAATATCTACATATATGCACAAATTCAATCATCAATAAAAAGCAGTGTAAATTTTAACAGAAAGATGACCAAATTTTGAATATTGATATGACATTCTGAAAAGAATAGGATTTTTGTCAAATAAAAGAAATATTTTTATTTGAATATTCAATGATGAAAACGCGTCTGTAAAATTAGGCAGAAGAAGATGATTACATTTCTGACTTTTAGTAAACTATTTTTGGATTCGATAATAATTTCGTTTTCAATATATTATTAAATTCGTATAAGTCATATTTGCACCTGACATCTAGCTTTTAACTAGTCATTGGTTTCTCTTTCAGGTTTTATCTGTTCTTTACATGAAAAAATTCTAGTTACTATTATTATGAGTATCAATGATCTAAATAACAAGAGAACATGTTCGTCATTTTGTTTTTCGTGATGAATCTTAATGTGTTATATTTTTTATTCTCGTTCTATACATCACACTGATTGATTCCTTTTTATTAAATTTGATCCCTTCTTCTTATCATAGTAAGAAACTTTCGGAACGCATACTCAAAAAACTACAAGAGAGAAAATTATTCAAAATTATAGTAGTAAATATAAAGCAATAGATTTCTATTATGAACAAATAATTGAAGTATAACTTTTCAATGTTTAAAATAATTTACTTTTGAATTTATAAGATCTTAATAATATGTCAAATTTTTATGAAGAATTGTGTCCATATTATCGTTTAATATTTGAAGATTGAAATGCATTTATTGAACGACAAAGTTCTCAATTGAAAAATATTATTGAATTAAATTGACCTCAACATAAAACAATTTCAGATGTATCTTGTGGAATATAGGCACACAAACTATTGGCTTATCTCGAAAAGGTTATCAATTAACTGCTTCTGATATTTCTGTTAATGAAATCGAACGAGCGAAAAAGAAGCTCAACAACGTGGACAAACAAATATTTCATTTTCTATTTGTGATATGGGAATAGTTTTCACACGTCATGGTAGTAATTTTGATATAGTTATATCATGTGATAAGTCAATTCCTCATCTTCTTACTGATAAAAATATTTTTTTTGCACTTAAACAAATGTATTCTTGTTTACGACCAGGTGATGGTTGTTTGATTATAATTCGAGATTATGATCGAGAACAACGTGGTGGTAAAAATATTGTTAAATCTTATGAAAAAGCTGTTAGCGCAATCCCTTGCGGGATTAAAAATGTGAAACACGATGAATCTATTGTTACTAGTTAAATGGATATCGTTTTGTTCCATTTCTTTCGATACATTTGTAGCTAACCGTTTATCTAATTCTTTAGAACCACAGTTCCTCTATCACGGTCTGTGAATGGGCTCCGGGCCTGTCTGTCACGGTCGGTGATGGGCTCCGGGCCTGTCTCTCACGGTCCGTGATGGGTATGGGGGTTTCTCTTTCACGGTCTGTGATTGGTATGGAATTTCCCTGTCACGGTCTGTTGGAGGGGGGAGGCGGTGCAAATTTCTGCCCCTAAACACTTCAACACTCCTTTCAGATCGTGTTTCACAAAAGCAAAGATTGAAAGTGATAAACGATATGTTTCTTTACAAGTATGGGATTTCGATACAAAAAAATTCTCAATATTATGATTTCACTCTATGTATTACTCAAGAAGATCTTTATTCTAAACATATTGTCACACAGGCAATGCATTCACGTGGGTGTGGGTGTGCATATGTGATGTGGTTGAAACAAACAGACATGCCATCGCACCCACCCACACACACTCCACATCCACACCAACACTCACACTCACATCCACATCCCCACACCCACACCCTCACACCCACACCCACACCCTCACACCCACACCCACACCTACACCCACACCCATCCAAATAATCAAGCAAAATTAAAGGTTTCGTGTTCGAATCCCGAGAAAACCACTTATCTTCGATACGTAAGATTATACGTAATAGATTAAAAGGTAAGAATAGCTACTAGTGTAGAAACTAATGGGAGAAAATCTGATTATAATTGATTTTTTTGTGATTATTAATCTATTATAATGGCACTATTATAATGCCACTATTATAATGCCACTTTAATCATTTTTTAAACCAAAATAATCTATTATAATTGATTATATTATTTTAAAAAATGATTAAAGTAGCATTATAATAGTGCCATTATAATAGATTAATAATCGCAAAAAAATCAATTATAATCAGATTTTCTTCCAGTATTTTTTACATGGGTTAGTCCTTCGTTCTGTTGGATAATTCTCCTTTCAGCTTGCTACTTATCTTTTAGTCTATGGTAACATTCCTATGAAGAAATATAGCCAATAAAAGAATTTCTTCTGACTCATTCAACTCGATATCTCCATTATACGATACATGGGGAAAGTTCCCATAATAATTTTAATCTAAATGGGAAATTTTTTTTTCCCAGGCACACATCTCCTATATATACAGTACGAACAGTATGCCATTGCATTTTGTCTTCCACTAAACGTTTTTTTCGCATTTTTGACTCAGTAAGGTAACAGCTTAAAAATTTGAAAAGAGCTTGTCAACTATAAACTATGGTTGGCGTTCATACTTCTTTACTTTAGAGTGCAAAACTTGTGGCATGCATTATTTTTGTTTGATTTTCATTTTTGGTTGTCTTGCTAAAGCAGCTACTGCTGTGGTAAGCAATACTAGTGTCGGAAATGCTGCTACTATATTAAAAGGTGTGTGGGTCAATGAATTGGGTTCGACATTAAATATTACTAGTGTTTTTAAATCAACATTGCAAATTAAAGGAAATTATCGATCACCATCAGGTACAGCAGGTGATCAATATGCATTGAATGGTTTTGTTAACTTATCTCCAATGGTAACCGGCAAACATAATGTAATTGTTGTGAGTTTTACTGTTCATTGGAGTAATATTGGTTCTGTGACAACATGGAATGGGTTCTATTCTGAAGGCGATTATGATGATAAAGACGGTGCTCCTGGAAGAATTATTTGTCAATGGTTGCTAGTTCGTCCTGTTACAAATTATAAATGGGATCACATTTTAACAGGACAAGACAGATTCACAAAGAAAACATAAATTTGATTTTAATGTCATCGAATTTATTCTATTGAACTCAATAATTTAACCCAGCCTGTATGTTTTTCTCTTCTTAATCACTCTCACTTTGCAACTTCATAGCTACCTTCGGGATTCAGTTGAAGTGACCCTGAACGAACGCTGTGAAAGCTTGATTCTTTTTCCTTTAATTCAATTGTTTCGTGCATTAGCAGCATGCCCTAAACAAATCCCCTTTTACCTATGAATATAATTCAGATTGATTTTAATAATAAATAAACGAATGATAGAACTCACATTTCTCTAAAAGTGTTTTAACCAAATAATATTCAGATAAACCGAAAAAACAACAACTCAATTTGAAACTACTTCAATCAATGTTGAAAAAGAATACACCTATTCCGCGATGTTGAACATTGCGGAACCAGTTCTGCCCACGGAACCAATTCCATCTAATTCCCGTCATTCCTTTTATCGCTACCAACACAATTCCGAAATTCCAGGAACGAGTTTCAACAATCCACACCCCTATTCCAATTCCTGCTCTCCAGTAACTGGAATTCCGGAAACCAGTTCCCACCAATTCCTAGGCATTCCCGGAATTCCGTCCGATTCCGGAATTGAGTGATCATGCTGTCATTGTCAATCCTTACTTCTAGCTGTTGCATGTAAATCCCGAAGGGAAATCCGGGAATGGCGTCGGATTCTAGAATTGAGCTATAAATAACTTATTGGTATTGGTTATTGAGGGTGGATGTACCTATTTGGTGAATGGCATTTTGGACAACAAGTTAATGCTGAATTGAATAGAATTTGCAGGAGTTTTGGCTCGAGCAGTGTTTGGGTAAGGTTTTGTTTCGTTGAACTTTTATCGCACAGTGTGGTATAGGTAGGGGAAAGGCTGAATTTTTAACTGTTTTGCTTGGCAAACATTGCAAATGTTTGTTATTGATTACGAGTGTTTGTTGGGGGTTGCCAATGATTGTTGTTGGTTGTATATGATTATCCCATTTTTTGCGTCATGAAATCGTGGATTCGGGCTCTTTTGGATCTGTGTAAGGTTTCCCTCTGTGAGCACGACGAAAACGGTATAACTCTACCTGTGAATTTCCAAAGAAACGCTGAATTTTTCATTCTGTTGATTCCCATGGATTGCCAAAGACGGCCAATGATTGCTTTGGTTGCAGTCTGCTCTTTCTCTTGGGTGTAAACTGGTCATGATTTTATGAGACCCGCGCTTTGAACGACATTTGCTCCTAACTATTCCATAACACCCACACTTTGTTGGACGCTTGCTGATCACCCTTTCATGACGCTGACACTGTCTGGTGCTGACTGATTACGATATTAGCATACCCACATTTGGTGGGCGCTTGGTGCTCCCGATTTGGTAGCTTCTGAATGGAATTTCGTCGTTCCGGCATTTGTATTTCTTGTATTTTCCCTCTTGAAAAGTTGTTTTTATTGTAAGAATACATTTGGTGGGTGTGGTAATGTGGAGGCGAGTGTGTATCTTAGTGTGGATGGGAGTAGACCACCCATCACCACTACACCCACGCTCATACCAACAAATTGCGATTTAAGAATAGGACATAATTTCCTGAAATTCCTACCAAAAGGCTTTAAACTCAATTCAGAAATTCGACAAAATTCCTACCGATTCCGGTTTCATTCAATTCCGGAATTGGGTCATCATTAGATGGGTAAGAGATTATAGAATAATAATAGAAGGTGTGATACCGGAATCGGATGGAATTCTCGGAATTGGTAGAATTGATTCCGGTATCGGAACAGAATTCCGGTTTGAGCCAATTCCGGAATTCTCGGAATGAATGGAATTGATTCCTAGGGCGGAACTGATTCCGTAATGTTCAACATTGCGGAATAGGATGATTGCTCATTAAGATCACTATGAAAAAGAAAATTATTTATTGTTGTCATTTCTTTTTTCTTTTATACTTAACTTCGATTTATAATTAAATCAAACGAATAATCTTATTTTCTTTATGTCAATATTCATTCTGAAATTTCCTACAGTTTAGACATTAATGAAATGTTCGTATCAGACATTTGCAATACGTTATTAAAATGATGTAAGAATGAATAATAATATTTCTCTTTGATGAAATTGGTTGAGGAAGGAATATTTCAGAATATCAAATACATACACTAATGAAAAAGGCACCAAACAAATAAATGAATATCTGTCATTTAATGGTGACACAATATTGATATATCCATCCTTATCGATGTCCAGCATGGGTCAATTTTTTGAAACTCGGCCTGAAGTTAAAGATTGGATTTACTCATTGTATAATATAGTTAGATAACAATCCATCGTAGAGCTAAAAATTCTATTACTAAAACTCATTCAAAAATCTTTCGAATAAATTGATTGTATTGTCGATTTGTATCTATCACATTTACCGTAACCTAAAATGAAAAATATTTTCTTTAAATCAAAGTCAAAACGAAAATATTCGTATTACTGATCAACAATTCCCCATGAAATTTCCATATGTAAATAGCATAACTGAGCATCATAGAGCGTATTCCACATGTTGATTACAATGATGTATGTGCGAACAATAGACCGATCAATGATAAGACTAATAAACTAATAGCCTAATGAGAAAAACATCCGAGAAAATAAAATATTAACTTTGCAGAGGATAGACACTGTGGCTTATATTGATACATAGTCTATATTTTACATGAAGATAATTAGGAAGAAGATTTCTTAGAATATTGAGTATATCAACTACTGAATTGGAAAATGAAATAAATGCAAAATAAATCGTAACATATATAAATATAAACAAAAAGAGATAATATGAGGAAGTTAGAAAAAAAGGAGAAAAGATGCATTTAAATTCAATACTTTTATAAAGTAGGTCATCATCGCGTCACTCATGTTGCATGCTAAATAACAGTATTGGGGTGGGTGTGGGTGTGGGTGTGAATGTTGACCTATCATATGGTTATGCCCACACCACACCCACCCACACCCCACCCACACCACACCCACACACCCACACACACCCACACCCACCCACACCCACACCCACACCCACACCCACACCCACACCCACACCCACACCCACACCCACACCCACAC